AACATGGTTTTGGTTTGCCTTGGAGGAGTAAACACAGAACTCGTGGGAGATCACGATGATGAATCGCGGGGAGACGACTGGGTACCCCGCCGACAAGTTTGGGCCAGACAAGGAGATGCACCCGTGGGAAACCCAGTCTCCGATGATCAAGCTCGTGAAACACTGAGAAATGCCTCTGCGTCCTTGCCCGCGCCATCGCCGCCACCGACGACTAAGGCGGGGCCGGTTGACAAGGGCAAGAGCAAGGGCAAGTACACTGGCTGGAGCGGTAGAAAAGGCAAATACCCCCTACGATCACTGTCAGCGAGATCAATATCACTGGAGCTGGCGGACCCGCTATGAATGGAATCATCCTCAGCGCCGAGAAGAAGGATGGCGGGGATGATATATTGCAGACGGACTGGCACGACTTCGTCGGCATCAGTCCCACGCCACTTGGCTTCGCCAACGCGATGTGGGCGCGATGGGAGTGGAAGACCTTTGTGGTGTGAGCTGGTTTTAGATTTTGCTCTGGTGGGGTACGTCGGGTTCTTTCGGTCTCTTGCCCCTCGGCACCCGCGATCGAGCCGTAAAATTATGTTTGGGGTTGGCCCCCGTGGCTGCACATATGCACAGTCCGCGCGGGTGGGGGATCGGGGCGGCTCTACGCACCCCGCCGCGGGGGGGGTCCATGCACTCCTCTCCGCACCGCCAGCCTGCTGTCCCTGCCTTCACTTGTCGCCGCCGCACTGCGCGCACTGTGCGCACTGTTCGCCTGCGCCTGTTTGGCTTAAGAGTATCGGACAAGGAGCGAGCCAGCCCGCGCGTGCGTCGGCTGGCCGGCTGGCTTCCTCACTTCATACGTACTTCTTTAATCCGCTTATCGGAACACTCCTTCCTTGCCATGGTTTCGGCGGAGCCCCCTGGTCTTGAGACCGCATTGGAACATAATGCAGGGGTTATCAATATCAAGGCAAACAACTATCAAATAATCACACGGCACGAGCCGCAGACCACAACGTATAGGGCACCAAGGCAGGGTCGACACACCGCAACCAATGAGTCATGAGATGGCACTGGCTATAGCGCGCCACCCACAGGGCACCAAGGCAAGAACAAGAAATCAAGACACCCCAGGGCGCTGGCCCATACAGCACAACCGGATGGGCACCAATGCGCGAAGGAGAAGTCGCAGCCCTTGGGGCACCGAAGGCCACCCAGCACCGCCCACACGAAACCAGGACAACAACAAAACAGTTACATCCACTACGGCATCACAGGGCACCAGCAATGAAGCACCGCCAGCAGGGCAACAGTTCAAGGGGAAGCATCGCAACAACAATGGCACCATAGTGGGCCAGCCATGGAGCACAACAGGCACCGAGGCAAGACCGACAAGTCGCAGCCACTAAAGCAGCACATGGCCCCAGCAATTGCACACGCACACACTATAGGCCACCAAGGCAAGAAGATAAATCCCAACACAGAAATTACAGCGCAACGCCCACGCAGCACAATTCATACAGAACAAGGACAATAACAAGAAACCGCTACCAATCAGGCACCGCAGGGCATATGCCATGTGGACATCGAGAAAGTTTAACAACTGAAACGTCATTGGGCGCAAGCCATAGAGCAACACCAATGTGGCACCAGGTTAAGAACGAGAAGTTGCATCCACTGAGGCATCGCAGTGCGCTAGCACTAGAACACCACCGTTAGGCCACCGGGGCAAGAACGAGAGGTCGCAAAACGCTAACGCGTCACAGGACACTTGTTTGAAGCACCACCCAAAGGACACCAAGGCAAGACCGAGCAATCGCAACCATTCAGGCATCATGCGGCGCCAGCCACAGAGCACCACTGAGCACCACCCAGAGAACATAAAAGGCAAGAGCTTGGAAACCGCGACCATGCGGCCATCATGATGAACCAGCCAGAGAGCGTGACCGGAAGAGCACAGAGGCACGAGCGTGAAGTCGCTGCAACTGAAGCACCAAAGAGCACCAGCCATAGATTTGCGCCTATGGGGCACCAGTGAAAGAGGCACCGCAACCACTGTGGCACCGTATGCCACCCGCCATCAGGCACCACCCCGAAAGCACGAAGGCAAGGACCAGAGACCATAGGATTTGGGGCCCCGTGGAGCGCCAGCCATAGTGCACCGACCATTGGGCACAAGAGCAAGAACGAGAAATCGCAACGACTCAGGCAGCATAGGGCACAGCCATACAGCACCATCCAATGGGCACCGAGGCACGGAAGAGAAGTCGCAGCCCTTGAGGCATCATATGACTCCCGCCATAGAGATCCATCCATACGGAACCAGGGCAAGAACGAGAAGTTGTTACCACTGCGGCATCACAGGGCACCAGCACTGGAGCACCACCCCCAGGCGACCAGGGCAAGAGCGAGAAGCCGCAACCATTAACACGTCACAGGACACTTGCTTTTAAAGCACCACCCAAAGGGCGCCTGGGCAAGAAGAAGCAATTGCAACCATGAAGGCACTGGCCATAGAACACCACCCATGCGGAACTAAGCCGAGAAAGAGCAGTCGCACCCATTATGGCACCACAGAGCACCAACCATGGAACGCCACCCATGGGGCACCAAGGAAAGAACGATAAATGCATCGCAACTGGCATGGCATCATAGAAAACCACCAATCGAGCACTAAAGCAAAAACTCATATACCACACCTTGTAAGACATCAAAAGTACCAGCCAAACACACCAACCATCGTGCACGAGGCAAAGATGCCACAATCACGACCATTGGGGCACCAGTCATCCAGTCATGGGGAACGCAGGCAAGAACGAAAAGTCGCGACCACAGAGAATCATAGGGCACAAGCCATGCCCACCCAGAAAGCACAAGGGCGAGAAAGAGAAGCCGCTGCAAGTAAAGCACCGAAGGACACCAGCCATAGACCACCACCCATGCAGGATCGGGAAAGCACAACCGTCAAGGCACCATACGTCACCAGTCACAACGTACCACCCAAAGAGCACGAAGGCAAGGACGAGGCATCGCAACAATGGAGGTCCCAGGTGGCACCAGTCATAGAGCGCCGCCCATCTTGCGCCAATGCAAGAACGAGAAATCGCATCCACTCAAGCACCATCGAACACCAGCCGTAGACCACCATCCATAAGGCGCGAAGGCAAGAGAATGACATCTCAACCGTCAAGGCATCATAGGACACCCGCCACAATACACCACCCAGAGAGCACGAAAGCAAGAACGAGGAGCCGCAATTACTGAGGCATCATAGGGCGCCAGACATAGAGCGCCATACCTGGCGCACAAGAGTACGAACAACCATTGAGGCAGCACAGGGAACCACCCACAGGGACCAGGGCAAGAAAAATGAGGCGCAGCCGCGGAGGCAGAATAAGGGACCAGCCGCAGAGCAACCACAGGGCACCATGACAAAAATGAGCAATCGCGACCATGATTTACTGAATCGCTTCGCTCACTCGGCCGGCCCATCTTGCCTCGCCGCTGTCGTTTGTCGGGGTGTTGTTGTCAATGCGGAGCGGCTGGGCGGCTGCCATTTTTCGGACGCGGTGGGTGGCGGGTCAGAGGCCTCACGGATGTTGAGCTCTCGCGGTTGGCCTCTCAGTGGGCTTCTGGGAGGCAGTTTTGATGCCTCTTGGGGGCCGTGTTGGGGCTTCTTGGGGCCTCTTGGGGGCCTCTTGGAGCTTCTTGGGGTGCCTTTTGGGAGCCTCTTGGGACCTCTTGGGGACCTCTTGGGGCCTCCTGGGGGCCTCTTGAGGCTGAAGGCTGGACTTTTCGGTTCCTGGTCTCCTTCTTGGGCACCTCTTGGGGCCGTTTTGGGGCTCCCTTGGGCCGTCTTGGGCGCCCCTTGGGCTGTCTTGGTGCCATCTTGGGCCGTCTTGGGGCCCTCTTGGAGGCTTCGTGGGCCGTCTTGGGGCGGTCTTGGAAGCCCCGTGGGCCGTCTTGGAGCGCCGGTAAGCCGAAAAGGCGAGAAAGCCAAAAGCCGTCAGAAGCTAAAGGGAAATCGCTAATGTCTACCTCTGTGGACCCTCTTGGGAGGTCTCTTGGAGGTCTCTTGGGGCGTCTTGAAGGCGCTTTGGGCCGTTTGGAGGCAATCTTTGGCGTCTTGGATCGCTCTTGGACCGTCTCGGACCATGTTGAGCTCTCTTGGAGGCCACTTGAAGCGCTCTTGGGAGCCTGCCCGGGACCTGCCTGGGACCTGCCAGGGATCTTGCTGGGACCTTTCCCGGACTTCCGGGGGTACTTTTCGTCTGGGAACCCCCAGGGGCGGCCCCGCGCGCGCGAACTAGGAATAGGGTTAAGCATGTTACCAGAGATCTTAGAACGCCCTTCGCCCGTTGGGCCGGCGAATTTTATTCTCTCCTGGGCAAGCAAGAACCCCCTTGTGGCAGCGCCCGCACAGCGGCCGCGCCTCATTTCGGCACACCCCTCACGCGCTTCGTTGCCCCATAAGGAGGTCCACCGAAGGCGATACTCACAACGACGATACTCACAACTGCATACGAACGGGTCCTTCGACAGGCTACTGCAATTCTCTCCAGGGCAAGCGAGAACCCCTTGTGTAAACACGGCAGTCCCGGGCAAATATCTGGCGCCAGGGATTGGCGCGCAGTGCCTGGCGTCTGCGGAGCGCACCCTCGCGTCGACGACGCCTGGGCGGGAGGCTGGAGCGGCACCCCCTCGCGCGCACAGAGAGCGAGCCCACTCCTGCAACGCATATCAGCCCACGATACCCTGGCATCGTTCGGACGTGTGCGCCTTGGTTCTCGGCGAGGGCCATCGAGCCGCATCCTGCATCACCTTGCGAAGAAAGTCGCGCCCGATGCCGAGAAAGACACAGGGAATGGACGCCCGAGCGATGGCAAGATATACGGCGAGCGGCTGGAGTGCGAAGAGGCCCGCGACCACTCGGGCGAGTGGAAGGACATGGTGGGGCCTGCAGCCAGGGTGCGACGACCCCTCTTGGACATCCCTCCACGCTCGCGTGGCGCTGCCAGGTGGCGCGCCGCGGGCCCTCGTCGGACCTGCCTTCGGTCCTCCTCCGCCTCTTCACCTACCAGCACTGCCGACTCCTCCACATCAGACGTGGAGGAGTGGGGGATACGAACTTTCGATCTCCCACGCCAGCGAATCGGTCGCCGAGGCAGCCGTGGGCCTCCCAGCGGAGAAGGTGCGGGCAAGACGGTCATGGTGCGGTCGGCCGTGGTCGCAGTGGACACCATTGCCGCATTCCTGCGCGCCCCGCCCCCCCCCCCGCATTCCCCCGCCCCCGCTTGCCCGTCGTCGTCGCGGTGTGGGTGTGAGCGTTCCCCAACGTGCCTCTTGACATGGTGGTCCGAGGGCTAGCCTTTCCTAGCCTGACTTGCCACAACATTCCACAGGGACCAGCCACCCTCAAAGGCGGTGTAATCCGCCAGAATCCTCCTGATGCGCCCCCCCCCAGGAGGCGCCCGCCCTGCTGGCAGGGGAGCTGCTGGCGCCGACCGTGCCGTCGGATCCGGCGGAGCCGAAGGCGAGGGCGAAGAAGGCAAGACCGGCGACAGGCCAGCCATCCTCCTCGCTCTCCCGCTCCCCGTCCTTCTGGTGCCTCATGGTTATGTTGTTCCTCTTGCTCCTCCTGCTCCTGCTTATCCTGGTGTTGTTGATGCTTCTTCTCCTCCTTGGTCTTATTCCTCCCCCTCTCCCATCCTTCTCATCTTCATCCATCCACTCCCTCCTCCCTCCTCCGTCCTCCCTCCCTCCTCCCTCCTCCTTCGTCCCTCCATAGTTCCTGTTAATCACTGGCGTCTTCCTTTACCTTATGCCCTCCTCCCTCTTCCATCTTTCCGCCTCCATTACCTCCATCCCTCGTCCCTCCTGACTCGTCCGTCCTGCCTCCTCCCTCGATCCTGCTCTCTCCACCCTACTCCCTGCACCTCTCCTCGCTCCTCTCTCCTTATTGCTTCCTCTTCCCTCATCTCTTCTCTCTCCTCCGTCTTCCGTGCTGTCTGCCCCCCACTCCTACCATTATCCTTCCGCTCATTTATCCGCCATCCCTTTGTGGAAACGCTCCTGTTTTATCGATATAGGTTTAGCATCATGCTCTTTCCCGTGAAGCCCAACATTCCAGCTCACGGGAGGCCAGGATTGTTCGTACGTGTTTCAGGGAAGGACATACTGTCGTTGTCACATTCTGGCTCAAGGCCAATATGCATCTGCTCATCCTGCTGCTGCCACAGTTGGTAGCGGAGCAGTGTTCGGCGCGGCATGCATGGGCGCCCCCAGGCACCGCTGATCAGCGGTGGTGTCGGGGGCAGCTCGGGCGGCTGCGCGGGCGCTGCTCTCACCGGACTGGACAGAGCGCGGATCCACGGCAGGCATTGATGCCAGGGCCAGATGACACTGGCCCAGGAGACGAGAAGAACGAGACGTACGCCGTCATAGGCGGAGGACGCTTAGTCCAGTCAGAGGGGACTGGGGAGGGGACGGCGCCACCGCCACCCGTCGGAGGCGCAGCGAGCTCGAGCCCACAGGTCACAGAGCAGCTGAAGCAGCTGATCCAGCAGGCCGTGAAGGACGCAGTGAAGAACCTCGGCCCAGGGCTCAGCCACAGCGCCGCCGGCGCAGACGACGACTACGGCGGCACCAAGAGCGGCCGGCAGGAGAGCTCGAGGGGTCAGGATCCCTGGAGCGACGGCCGCGATCCATGGAAGAGTGGACAGCCGGAGCCTGACGAGAGCAAGTGGGGCCCCGGGGGCCGACAGCAGCAGGACACCAAGCGAGACGGCGTCAGGGACTCCGACTGGAAGGACGACGACAAGGGCGGCTGGAGAAACCACAACTGGAACGAGGGCGGCTGGTCAAAAGGTGACTACTCAGACCCACCTACCTGGCCAGGATGGGGCCACTACCGCCTGTGGAAAAAGGCGATCCAGCGGTGGAACCGCAACACTGACGTGCAGCTGTGGAGGCGGTCGGAGCGCTTCCTGAAGCTGTTCGACTGGACGATGCAGGCGAAGTTCGAGGACATCAGCGAGAACGTGCTGTGCGGGCCCCGCTGGCTGGACACGCTCCTCGAGAGAATGGACCTCATGAGCGGCCAGCGAGAGGGCGACGACATGCGCCGAGCGGGTCGCAGGGCACTGTTCGAGTGCACGAAGGGCCAGAAGGAGAGCCTCACGCAGTTCGTAGCGAGACGCGATCAGCAGATGACCGACGCCGAGAGCCACGACATATGGATGTCGGATAAGATGAAGGGTCTCATGCTCGAGGAGGGTGCGGGACTGAGCGCGCAAGGTCAACAGAACCTGCGCGCCCTCACCAAGGGCAGCCTAGACTACAGGGACGTGGCCTGGGCTCTCAGGCAGCTCGACTACGGCAGCGGCGAGAAGCTGCTGCCTGGCAGCAGTGCCTCGCACCCAGTCCTGGCCGCAGAAGACGGCGAGGACGGACGAGGCCACAGCTCTCTCCCTCTTCCTCACTCGTCCTCCCAGGCTTACCAGGTCTCGGGCTCCGGGACCGCTCGACAGGACGAAGAATCGTACTACGACGAGTCGGGAGAGGATCCAGACGAAGACGAGGAGCTATCCGAGACAGACCTCATGGCCATTTTGGCGGAGATTGAGGATCTGGATCTCGACGAGGACGATGCCACCGAGGCCTTCGCGCAGATGACAGGCAAGGTGCAGCGCAGGTCCTGGAAGCAGAACAAGGACCTGAAGCGCGCGGCGAAGCAGGACCGCGAGTTCTACGGTGCACGACCTCGCCGGGGCGACGACGACGGACGCCGTGGTGGGGGCGGCCGAGGCGGCACAGGCGGCCGAGGCCGCGCGCGCGGGCGAGGCCGAGGAGACAGGCCGAAGGATGCCGGCGCCACGAGTCAGAGAATCCTCAGGCTCATGAAGGTCACTCGCTGCAAGAACTGCAACGAGAAGGGCCACTGGTCACGGGAGTGTCCCCAGCCGCGGAAGGAGGACAGCGGCAAGGGTCCTGATCGGTCAAAGCGAGGCCTGGCCGGGCACACGTTCGACGGCTGCAGCTACCCGATCATGAGCAACGACGAGCTCGAGAAGCTGAAGGACATCCGGAAGGAGGCGCAGGCCATCGAGGTCTACCTCAACGCCTCCGTGACGCAGGGCCTCGTGGACCCAGGGGCCGGCAGCGACATAGTGGGGCTGCCATCACTGAACCGAGAGGCCGAGGCGCTGGCTCGTCACGGTCTTCGCTGCGTAGCAGTACCAGGAGAGTTCAAGGCGCCCAAGAAGGCGCATGGCATCGGAGGCGAGGCAAAAGTGATCTGTACCATCCTTTATCCGATGTGCCTCGGCGGAGTGATGGGAGTTGTGGAGACCACGGTGCTGAACGAAGACGTTCCGCATATACTGAGCGTCAATCTGCTGGATTTCCTAGGCTGCGTGCTCGACCTTCCTCGTAATCTTCTGATTTCGCAGTTTTTAGCTCAGGACTTTCCTGTCGCCAAGCTGGGCTCCGGTCACCGCATGGCCGATGTCGTGCGGGAGACTAAGGGGAGCCACACTACCCCAGACAGTGCGCTTCGGAAGTATCCTTTTCTGACAGCGTCTTCTTTTGTACTGGCCACTGGGCAACCGCCACCTGCGATGAGCGCCAGCGGAGAGATGAGCGCTTACAGGGTTGTCCTCTACCTCCTTCCCCTCAGCTTCAATCAAATCGAGCGCAGTACCGTGCGCCGGGGCCGAGCCCGGGGACAGCACTTATCGATCGAGCTCGAGTTTAGCGACCAGCACCAGCCGCGAGCTCAGTGGAGCGGCCTAGCGACGGCCCGGGCCTCGGGATCCCGCGGAGAAGCTAAGGACGAGGAGTACCACCAGAGCCAGGCCAGTGAGACGACCAGAGCCCTCGACCTCGGATCAGCGTGTAGGGCCATTTACGACCTCGGGGCTCTCGGTCTCTCGGCGATAACCATGTGGGTCCAGATTGTCCTGGTGATTTCCGTGGCCAGTTTGGGCTCAAACTCGTTTAGGCGATTCCAAGCTTCCAATCTCGATCGCCTTCGGAGTCACATCCTGGGCGATTCACTCCATGTTCATGTTTCGTGTAGCGATGGTGCTGGCTCTCGGCATGCACCACGCCGTCGGAGGCAAGAAGAAGGAGCCTGTTGCCAAGCAGCTCACCGAGGAGTTGCTGGCGCAGCGCCACGCCGAGAGAGAGGAGGACTCCGAGGTGTCCTCGGAGGTGTTCGAGCCCTCAGCCGGAGCAGCCGGCTCGGCGGCACACAGCGAGGCGACGGCGGCGGCGGGCAGCGACGTGCCCATGCCCCAGCAGCCACACGGAGTCAGCGGTGCCTCGGGCGACCAGCAGCACCAGGCGCTCGCGGCGTTGCAAGGGCTGCCGACACCGACGAGCCTCGGACCCGCCCAGGTCGCGGCGAGCCCCCTGGTGGTGAAGGCACCTCCTCCGCACCTTCAGCAGCACCAACCCGCATCGAGGCCGCAGCCAGCGCTGTGGGGGGCGGCAGCAGCGGCGTCTCAGTGGCCCCCAGCTCCACCGATCGAGGGGGCCATCCAGCCGACGATGCCCCAGGCGCTGTATGCCCTAGCCCAGGCGGGTGTCGAGCACCGCGGCCAGCCACCTCTGCCATCAGGACCGCCTCCAGCGGCCGCAGCAGCGGAGGGGGCGGCGGCTGCCACGGCAGCTGGAGGGGGAGCGACGGCGCCGACACCAGGGGTGCTATTCGGGCCAGCTGCGGGGAAGCCACCCCCCAAAGCATCACCCCGCTGCAGTCGTCCAGCCTCGGCGATCAAGTACTACGGGAACCAGCACGGCTCGGGATCGAGGTGCACTCTCTGCGGAGCGCGCATTGCATGGATTCCCGGAGGCCGCGCTGGTCAAGGAGGTGCACCGGCAGTGCCAACGGCGGCCGAGGCCGCGCGGGCAGCGGCGTCATCCGCTCAGAGGGCGGTGGACCTCCTGACCAGCGACCCGCAGTTCAAGGCAGGAGGTGCAGCGCTGACGACGGTGAATCAGCTGTACGGTTTGCTCCAGGGTCTCCAGTGGCAGCTCCAGGCGATTCCAGAAGGAGTTCGTGCGCTGGGCCAGGTACAGTCGGTGGTGGACCAGATGATCCAGGTCGCGACGCAGACCCAGCAGTTTCCCACGCAGATGGAGGAAGGGCTCCAGCAGATCTTCCAGGGCATCACCGCCATCAAGACGCAGCTCACCGGGATGGCGGACTTCGCGATAGCCATCGACACGCTCCAGGAGTCGGTCAACGCCATCGCGGGCACGCTCTCCGGGATGGAGACAGCGATCGGCCAGATCGGGTTCATGCTCGTGAACGTGGGCACGGCAGTGGCGGCCATAGCGCACGTGGCCAACGGGGGGCAGCAGGTCGAGGACCAGTGGCACGTTCCTCAGCAGGCAGCTGCAGCAGCGGTGGCAGCAGCTCCCTTTCACCAGGCCCCGACAGCGGCCATCGGCGCGGCCGGCTCGGCGGCGGCATCCTCGTCCGGGGCAGCCAGCCCTCCTCCGCCGTCCTACCCGCCACCGATCGACGGCCAGGCGACAGTGGCAGACGGGGACCCCT